CGGGAGCTGTTGAGCCCTTGCCGCGCCTTCCCTGCCTGAGTCCACGGGGCGCAGCGGCCGCTGCGGAGTGAGGTCTCCGTTGGCGCCGCCCGCAGGGAGAAATGGGCCCCTCGGCTGGCGAGGAGCCGACGGCACGCCTGCCTGTAGGTGCCAACGTCCGCTGGCATGTTTCGGAGGGGAAGGGGGAGGAGGAGGAGGCGGAGGAGGAGGCGGAGGCGGAGGAGGCGGAGGCGGAGGCGGAGGAGGAGCTCCGGGCCGCCTCATTCAAATTCCGGGCGCGCCGCTGCTGAGCGCCTCGCGGGCGCTAACTGCCGAGTCTGCAGTGGGCGCTCTCCTCCTGCTGGCCCTCGCCCTCGGGGCCCTCGGGGGGGGCCAGGGCGTCGGCCACGGTGGAGGGCCGCGCGTTTCTCTCGGTGGGTTTCGGAGGGAGCCTGCTCAGATCGGGGCTCCTCGATCGAGGGCGAGGGCTTACTGCTCCATACTTCTCTCGGCGGCGAGCGAGGGGGGGAAGTGAGACGTGGCGGGCCTTCTCGGATCGGGGACACACACACACAAGACTCGAGTAAGCCTGAACTCGTGTTTGCCGACGTTTTTTGACGAGCGCGTCCTGGAGTTTGACGGTCCGGTTTCCGTGGGATGTTTGCAGCGGGAGTTCGCATCAAATTTCAGATTGGGTCTCGTCATTTTCATGATGCCCTCGTCAGGCCAACCCGAGTCCCCCGTACCCAAGTCTTGCGTCTCCCCGATCAGAGCTCTACCTTGTGTCGCGAGGCCAGCGGCGTCTGTCTGGCCGACCTTCAGAGGACTCCGCGAGCTCATTCAGTCGTTCCCTCATTCATTCATGCAGCTGGCGATGCTGACGACGACGACGCCGACGCCGACGTCGACGATGCCGACAACGACGCCGACGCCGACGACGCCGACGCCGACGACGACGACGACGCCGACGCCGACGCCGACGCCGACGACGACGACGCCGACGCCGACGCCGACGCCTACGCCGACGCCGACGCCGACGCCGACGACGCCGACGCCGACGCCGACGACGACGCCGACGCCGACGCCGACGCCGAAGCCGATGACGACGACGCCGACGACGGCGCCGACTCCGACGCCGACGCCGACGCTGATGCCGACGCTGATGCCGACGCCGCCGACGACGACGCCGACGACGACGACGTCGACGACGACGCGACGCGGAGCGGAGCGGCCGCCCCCCGAAGGCGAGCGACGACGACGGCGGCGCGGGCGGCAAGCTCAACCGGTCGAGCAGCGACCCCGCGTGGCTCCGGCCCTGCTACCCCAGCAACTGCGCCTCCGGCAGGCCCAGGGGGAGCGTGCGGTGCGGCGTGGGGCGCCGACGCCTCCTTCCCGGCCGTGAAGCCCCGTCCTCCTCTGCCTCCGTCCTTCTCCGCATGACTTCGTGAGGGAGAGGGGCGGAAGGAGGAGGAGGAGGAGGAGGAGGAGGCTGCGGAAGGAGGCGGAAGGGGGAGGAGGAGGCGGGAGGCCGGAGGAGGAGGCTGGAGGCCGGAGGATGAGGAGGAGGAGGAGGAGGTCTTTTGGGGGAGGAAGAGGAGGAGGAGGAGGAGGCTGAGGAGGAGGAGGAGGAGGAGGAGGACGCGTTCTGGGAGGAGGGGGAGGAAGAGGAGGAGGAGGAGGAGGAGGAGGAGGAGGAGGAGGAGGAGGGTGAGGATGAGGATGAGGACGAGGACCAGTGTAAACCTAAGACTCATCAGAGATGTTTGAAAAAATCCTTCCTCCAAGCTCCCTGTTCATAGGCGCTTTAAACATGCTCATATCCACCGAGGGAACTGCCCCGTTGGGAGACAATCGTTTGAAGATCCTGACGCGTGCCAAAACACCATTCTCGGGAATCGAACGCTACGAATCAACTTGACTGTTGCGTCTTCACGATCCTGAATCGTGCCAGAACGCCATGCCTCAGACCTCAACACTGCGAATCAGCGTAACTGTCGCGCCCTGACAATCCTGTAGTATGTTGACCATGGGAATCCGTGAAATTCTTGTAAAGGTTTAAGACGAGTGTGCGCGGCGCTCAGGCGAGAGCCACATTTTGAATAGGAACCGCCCTCAATTCATAACGCTCGTGCGTTTTTTTCAGACGAATGTGCGCGGCGCTCAGGCGATAGCCACATCTTGAAAACTGACCGCCCTCAATCCGTGACGCTCTTGCAATTGTCTGAAATGAATGCGCGCGGCGCTCAGGCGAGAACCACATTTTGAAAACGACCAGCCCTACTACATGAACTCTTGCAATCTTATCAGACGACTGCGCGCGGCGCTGAGGCGAGAGCCACGTTTCGAAAACGATCCCGCCTCAATCCGTAAAGCTGTTGCAAATTTCCTGAAACGATTGCGCGCTGCCCTAAGGCGAGAGCCACATCTTGAAAACGTCCCGCCCACAATCCGTGAGACTCTTATATATTTTTCAAACGAATGCGCGCGGCGCTAAGGCGAGAGCCACATTTTGAAAGCCATCTGCCCTTCATCTGTGGAGCTCTTGTCAATTTTTCAGCTTCAGGGTCATAAGTGGGTGGGACGTCTCAGGAAAAACGCCCTGCCCGCCCTTTCGACCAGCCTCGGGGTGCGACTTGAAGGAGTTCTTCACAGGCAGGCGGAATGGAGGAGGAGGAGGAGGAGGAGCAGGAGGAGGAGGAGGAGGAGGAGGAGGAGGGGGAGGAGGAGGAGCGAGCAGGAGCGAGGAGTGAGGAGCGAGGAGCGAGGAGGACGAGGAGGACGAGCTGGACGAGGAGGACGAGCTGGACGAGCCGGACGAGGAGGAGAGCGGAGACGAGGACGAGGAGGGGAGGGCCAGGAGTGCGCCAGCCCTGCCCGCTGCGATCATCATGTCGCCCGGGGCGGCCGCCCGACGGGCGGACGACCGGCCATAGCGCAGGGCCGGGGGACTCTCTGGCCGTGGAGCGCCGAGGGATGCGCACCGTGCCGGGCTACTTCGGCACGCAGGGCGAGGAGGAGGAGGAGGAGGAGGATGAGGAGGAGGAGGAGAACTGGCAGGATGAGGAGGAGGAATGGCAGGAGGAGGAGGAGGAGGAGGAATGGCACGAGGAGGAGGAGGCGGAGGAGGAATGGCAGGAGGAGGAGGAACGGCACGAGGAGGAGGAGGCGGAGGAGGAGGAGGAGGAGGAGGAAGCTGATGATGACGATGAGGAGGAGGAGGAGCAGGAGAAGGAGGAGGAAGGAGGGCACGAGGTCCCTGGCCAGGCCCGTCCGGAAGCCAGCAGCGGTGTGTACGCCACGCTCTGCCGGCCTGGCCAGAAGGGCGCTCGCACAGTTCCCGGGCTCAGGACGGGCCTGGCAAGAGATCAGCGGATCGGAGCGCTCGACAGCACCGTGCACACAGCGGGCTGCACCGGTCGACCATCGGGCGATCGGCGTCCGAGCGGAGCGGCCTGGCCCGAGCGTCTGGATCCGCGACGCAGAAGCTGACTAAGGGCGATGCTTGCCAGACACGCGCTGGCTCTGCGAAGACCGCCCCGCATGGGGTCCCGCGGCCTGCGGTCTCCCAGCTCGAGGATGGTGAAACGCCCAGCTCAAAGATGAGCGGGAGAAGCGGTCGACGGACTGTCTGCAGTGCACTCGCCCTGGCAAAAACACGAGGCACGTACCACAGCGGGCACCTCGCCAGCCACTTGGGCGGGCGGACAGCCTTGGAGGGGGGCCATCACGTAAGTTGTCCAGTGGCGGTGCGGCTTTGCACGGGTCCCTAGCGGACGGGGTCGGAGAATCGCACCGCACCACCGACGCCTCTGGGGCACACTTGGCACCGCCTGGCAGAAGAGATACACTGGAGGCCCGACCACCACAAGAAACCCAACCCTGAGACCCCAGGACGTCCATGGATTTGTATGGCGTGGGAACGCCACGCATTCCACAGCAAAACCATCGAAACCCGAGAAACCCAGGGCACCCTGGGGGCGAGCAGGGTGTTTCTTGGCATGGGTCTCCACTGTACGCGCAGGAGTGCCCCTGGACAAGAGTGACCTCTGGTGCACGGCTTCTGGGGTGCCGCGGGGGGCCCAGCACACGAGCGCGCAGGGCGCCTCTGTCGCGTGGCATTCGGCGATCGGGGGACCCCGGTGGGCCCGCACCGAGAGGTCACTCCGGCGAAAGGTCACTCGTACGTGTCGTCGAGATTCCATTTGGTCGGCCAGGTTCTGTCACCGAAGACTCCCGCAGAGAGGATTTTGTTCTCAGCGCGGCTCCCGAGAGGTCTGGAGCTCCTCCTGGGGACCAGCTTCTCATCCGTGGTCGTCTCTTGACGGTCGCGGGGCCCCGCAGGGGCCCCCGAATCACAAAATTGTCAGAAACCTGCCGTCGCATTTTCTTCACAGCAGAAATGTCCAGGCACCTCGACCCCATCAGGCCGCCTAGACTGTCCAGGTTCTGTCACCACGCGAGGTCGCTCGACACGGAAGCGGTCCCAGGCGTGCGATGTCTTGACTTGTTCCATGCGCGGCCCCCAGAAGTCCCGACTCTTTCCCCTGGACCGGCGTTTCATCCCGAGTCGTTCTGTTGACGGCCCCGGTGCCCGGCCAGGGCCCCCAGGAGCCGGAGACGGCCAAACGCTCTCCGTCGCGATCTCTACGACGCGAAGATGTCTGAAAATCCAGGTTGCGTCACCGCGCAAGTTCGCTCGACACCGAACCACAGGGCATCTTCCTGCCCGTCCTCGTCCCCGTCCCCGTCTTCCTACTCATGTTCCTCCTCCTCCTGGCTCTCCTGGCTTCTGGCTCCTCCTCCTCCCCTCCTCCTCCGCCTCCTCGTCCTTTCTCCTCCTCCTCTTCCTTTCTCCTCCTCCTCGTCCTCCTCTTTCCTCGTCGTCCTCCTCGTTCTCCCCCTTTCTCCTGTCAGGTATAGCCATCTGGGCGAGCGATGAGCAGCAGCAGACGAACTCCTGCGGGCCTGAGCCTGCTCAGGAGCCCTTTCTCCTCGTCCTCGTTCGCCCGCCTCCCCGGGCAGGACGCGTCTTTGAGCTCTCGTTCGTCCTCCTGATCCTGATCCTGATCCCTTTTCCCTCGTCCTCGCTCACCCTCCTCCCCGGGCGAGGGACGCGCCTCTGACGCCCGCCGTGGGTCTCGCAGCCGCTTCGGCCCTCACATGTCCGTACACTACCGCTAGGCCGGCCGGCCCAGGCACCCGACGATTCGAGCTGCTCGCTGCGGGGCCTCCAGAGGTCTGGACCCTTGTCCCGGGGCCGGCCCTTCGCCTCGGGTCTCTATCGGGGGCGGAAAAGAGGGGGGTGATGACAAAGCGGGGGGCGGATAGCATGGCGGGGGTCATGATATTTCCCTAGATTTCATGGCGCCTCTTCTTATTTCGTTACGTCCCTGGCCCCCCCGCTGGGCCGCGCACATGCCGCCGGTCATGATTTGCACCCCCCCCCTTGGACACCCCCGTCTTGGCCTCTCCCGACGCTAGTCTAGGCCTCATAGATGGGGTCCGAGTAGACGGGGTCGGAGGATCGCGCCGCATCGCCGATGCATCGGCGATGCGGCTCGATGCGGAGCCCGATATTCTCCACGCCGACGTCGCCGATGCATCGCCGATGCATCGCCGATGCATCGCCGATGCATCGCCGATGCGGCGCGATCCTCCGACCCCGTCTACTCCGACCCGTCTGTTCGAGCCGAGTGTCGCGCTCTGTGCTCCTCGAGGGCCCTGCCTGGGTCCCGGCGAGGGCCCCTGGAAGCCGACCGTGGCGAGGAGCCTCGGCGTCTCGAGCTTCTCGAGCCGCCGGAGGCGGTTTGGGTTTTCGGGGGCAGCTCCGGTCACCCCCCCAGACGCGCTCGCGTCGTAAAAAAAACAAGAGGACGGGAGGTTTTTCACACATTTCGGCCCCCAGGGTCTCTCGCCAGGCCCCGGGGCCGTCAAAAAACGACTCGGGAAGAGAAGCCGGTCCTGGGGAAAGGATCGGGACTTCCAGGGAAGCCGTCCTGAAAAAGTCTCGGCGTCGCATGGCTGACTCCCGCGAACGCTCTCGGCGAGGCGCAGCTGTTGGAAGGCACCCCGAGGCTTGGAAACCGCTGCGAGCCGACGGAAACGCCCGTACTCATCGAACCGCGAACTTTGGGTTCGGTAGAGACTCGTGGGAGCCTCGTATGTCGTCGAAACTCAGCCTCTAGAGAGCGTTAGCGTGCGCTGGCGTTTGGTAATCGATGGAACAGCACCTGTTTGGTGTCGATTGAGCGTCGATTCAGCGCCGACTCAGCGTCGACCAGCGTCGATTAGCGCCTGTCAGCGTCGACTCGTAAGAGCCCGCAGGATGACGTTGGAGGCTCCCATGAGTTGCCACAGAACGCAGGTCTGAGTCAAGGGAGGAAAAAGAAAAACCACCCAGACCCCGACAATTGGCGTTTACCAGTCGGCCCTGGGCGTTTACTAAACGGCCCTGCCCTGCTCGATTCCTTCCTGGGGTGCGCCTACCAAACGGCTTCGCTTGTCGGAGTACTTCTAATGGGGGTGGACTTTCTGCCCTCTGCTGAGTCTCTCGAGGCGTTGGAGTTCGGGCCAGGGCGCGCGCAGGCGCGCGCGGGCCGACCCAGACGTGCGACATCCTGATCTTTTCCGTACGGCCCCCCCCCCGGAAGTCCAGACCCTTTTCTGGGGGCCAGTTCTTCATCACGAGTCGCTTTTTCACGGCCCCGGGGGACAGGCGAGGGCCCCCAGTGGCCGAACAGAATTAGGGAGACATTTGCCGCCCCGTTTTTTTTTTTTGTTCCATGACGCGAGCAGGTCTGGGGCCAGTGCGCGCGCAGGCGCGCGCGGGCCGAAGGGGCTGCGCCACGATGGCGCGGGGGCGCGCGCGGCTGCTCGCCGCGCTGCCGTGCGCGGGCGCCCTGGTCGCCCGGGGGCCCCCGCGTGGCGCCGATGACCGCCCGCCGCTGGCGAAGGAGCTCCGTCGGGGCGGCGGCGGGCGGCGGCGGGCGGCGGCGAGCGGCGGCGGCGGCGAGAGAGGGGGAGAGGGAGGGAGGAGAGGAGGAGGAGGAGCTGGAGGGGGAGAGGGAGGGGGGGGAGGAGGAGGAGGAGGAGGAGGAGGAGGAGGAGGAGGAGGAGGAGGAGGAGGATCCTCGAGGAGGAGAATCCTCGAGGAGGAGGATCCTCGAGGAGGAGGAGGAGGAGCTATGAGCTGAGGAGGAGGAAGAGGAGGGAGGAGTTGGATTAGGACGGAGGGAGGGAAGGATGGATGAGGCAGAGGAGGAGAAGGAGGAGGAGTTGGAGCAGGAGGAGCAGGAGGAGGACGAGGAGGACGAGAAGTTCCGGATATCCATGGCTAACGGCCCCGATCAGATGGGGCAAACGTGCGACACTCGACGGTACGTAACTCTAGATTTTTGTCGCACGGAGTCTTTTGCCGAGCTGTTTCCAATTCTCGCTGTTGTGCTTTCTCATCGAGAGGAGTGAATGTCTGCGTCAACTTAGTAAGTCGAGCGCCAGAGGTGAAACAACTGCACCGGTTGCAAATCAACGAGTCGTCACTGCGATCGATTACCGCACAGCGATGGTCCAGCTCTCGTGCATTTTGAGGTTGGGCTCGACGCAGCTTTGTACATCTTCCATCCTGGAGGCCTGCACACCGAGCGCGAGCCCCTCAAACAGTGAAGACCCTGCGAACAATCGCGGGGAGGCAGTCTGGAGGCCGAAGAAGGCGGAGGAGGAGGAGGAGGAGGAGGAGGAGGAGGAGGAGGAGGAGGAGGAGGAGGAGGAGAAGAAGCAGGCGAAGGAGGAGGAGGAGGAGGAGGAGGAGGAGGAGGAGGACGACGACGCCGCCCACGACGACTCGCGGCGTCGCCGTTTTCCCGCCACCCGGCCCTCAAGGACTGCACGCCCGCGGACGAGGACATGCACATCGTCTTCTCGACGGGGTGCAACGCCTTCCAGAACTGGCAGGCGGAGGCGCTTTTCGATGTCAGCGGCGACGGCGGCGACGGCGACAAGGAGGAGGATGATGCGGCATGATGCGGAAAAGAGGAGACGGAGGACGCGGAAGAGGAGGAGGAGAAGGAGGAATCAGGATAAGGAAGAAAGGAAGATGGAATAGTGAATACGGCGGAGGAGGAGGAGGAGGAGGAGGAGGAGCCTTTGCCCGACTCGGGGGCGTGGTCCCCCGCGCTCGGCCGACACAGGGGCGGGGGGTCCCGCAGCGGGCGATGGCCAGGCGTGGCGCCCGCCGCGCCGTGGCGGCGCAGACGCCCACGATTTCATCGCAACACCACCCAGAGCCGCGACGCAGAGCAACGGGGTCGTCTGCGCCGACGTTGGCGCGTAAGCAGCCCGCGTAAGGTCGCGCGTGCGCGCCCTCATCTCCACTGCGGCGCAGCGCGCGGGCGGCCCGCGTAAGCCGCCGCGTAAGGTCGCTGTGCCGTCTCGCGTAAGGCCCCTTTTTTATCGTCGCTCAGGTGATGTACGAGGACAGGTCGGGCCCGCAGAGGACTAGGCTCCGCGAGGCGCCGTGCGCCGCGTCGGCTCAGAAGCTCGACGCCGACGCCCTGCACAGGCCGAGTACGCCGCTGCGTTGGACAAGGCCTTGAGGACGAACGGCCTCAAACGCAAGAGCAACGCCGCCAACCCCAAGTACCACAGCAAGGTCGAGGCGAAACGCATCGTCGTCCAGGTGCCGCTTGTCGACACCAAAAGCAATGCGGCCGACTTCATCAGCTACGAGTACAGCTTCCCTATCTACCAGGCCGCCGACGGCGATGCGCCCGACTTCGTGCCGGCCCTCAACCTAAGAATCCTGCCGCCTTTCAACCCCGCCGTCGCTGTCAGCACCGTCCACGTAGAGGATGGCGAGGAGGGGGCCACCGAACGTACGGGGGAGGACATGCTGGAGGGTGCCGGGCACGGTGGCGAGGGGGGGGAGGAGGGCATGGTGGAGGAGGACACCGACCACGAGAGACATGCGACCATCAAGGCCGTCAGGTTCGAGAAAACCGCCCGCTTGCTCTCCTCTCCTCTCCCTCCGCGGCGTCGCCCCCTCCGCCGTGGCCCGCGCCTGCAGCAACGCCGTCGGCGCCGTCGCCGCCGAGGACAGCTTCGGCGCCGACGCCGGCCGCCGCCTCGACGACCGCAGCAGCGCGGCCGCCAGCTCCTGGCACAGCGCCGCGTGCTGACTGGCACGAGGCCCTCCTCCTTCTCCTCCTCCTCCTCCTCCTCCTCCTGCTCCTCCTCCTCCTCCTCCTTTTCCTCCTCCTTTTCCTCCTCCTCCTCCTCCCCTCCTCCTCCTCCTCCTCCTCCTCCTCCTCCTCCTCCTCCTCCTCCTCCTCTTTTTCCTCCGTCGCCCAGGGGAGGCGCGCCGCGGGCCCCGAAGTCGGCGCCGGCGGCGCCCGCGCCGCGCCTCGCAGACCCTGGGCCAACGGCTGCGCGCCGCACGCGGCCCGAGGGCGCGCCCGGATTTGCTGCGGCGGTCCGCCCCGGGCACCCTCCTCTCCTCCTCCGCCTCCGCCTCCTCCTCCTCCTCCTCCTCCTCCTCTTCCTCCTCCTCCTCCTCCTCCTCCTCCTCCTCCTCCTCCTAGTCGGCTTAAGGGGTTAAGGGGGAGCGATCGACTTACCGAAAGCACCCATTTTACACCTTTACACGACTACGCCTCCTAACCGAGATGGCCAGGTGAGGGGGGGGCACCCGCGTACCGCTCTGCTTTCATGCGCACTGCTGTGTACAACCCATTGTCAGCGGGGACAATCGAGAGACTTACAGACATCAGCTTGGAACTCAAACAGTGGGACATCATTATGATCAGCGGCAGTGCCGAATGGTGTGGACCAGAACCAGTAAAAAAAAACCCTACTCCCAAACCACTGGTGTTTACGATTTGGTGCACGCAAGGGAAGATGTATCACGAAAGCTTGCGGGATTACTATCCTAGTTAGCAGGCTGATCCCGCAGACCAGCCTCAGAGCTATTTATCATCCACCAACGCAGCTCCAGGGACGAGTAGCAGGCATTAAATTGCACACCCCAGGGCAAGACTACGCATTTTTCCCAGTTTACTACGCCCCCACCCACCTCAAGAACTACGTCGAGATTGGCAAGCGCGTGACGAACTGGATAGAGCACACCACGGACGCGCTAGGAGTCAGGACAATGATAGTGGTAGGAGGGGACCTCAACAGTGACATGGGATTGCACCGCGACTCGGACGGCATAGTGCAGGCGAGTATGGACAGCTGTGTCGGGGGGATCGAGCGAAGGCTAGAAAACGAGAACGGGAAAATGTTCAGAGAACTCTGCACTAGCAGCACTTTTTCAGTAGTTACAACTAGGTACGATATAGGGCCCACCTACTACGGCACGCAAGGGGGGAACTCGCGAATCGACCATATAGCGATCCCAGCAGGAGCCCTGCACCTAGTTAAGCGTTGTCTGGCCCTCCACACGGCAGGGAAGCGCCTGCAGACCATCAGGTCCCGAGGACTTCGAGACCACGTGCCAGTCGGACTCATCCTCGACCCGAACATGAGGCACTTCGCACGACCGCGGCCACCACCACGACTACGCTTGGACAGGGATGCACTTATGGCTTGCGTGGGGAAGGGCAGGAAGAGAGAGGAGTGGCTACGAGCAGTTGATCAAGAACTAGGTGCAACAAGTACGGAGGACTGGGAGGAAGCAGTAGCAGCACCGACGCCTAATCGCTCTTGGCACCTCTACTCCACAGCAGTCAGGACAGCACTAGGACAAACCTTCGGACAGACACAGCAACAGCCAGACGCCTCGACGCAATTCCTCAAGCAACACAGGCAACAACTCCTGGGCATACGAAGAGACATCAGAGCCAAGCTAGGGCCCGAGGTAACAGACGAGGAGCAGGAGAGCATCAGAGAGCACTTGAAGGAGGTCACGGCAGTATTGAAGCAGATCAGAGAAACGCACGAGAAGCAGAGGAAGAAGCGGCTAGTGGAGGAGATCTGTGAGGCACATGAGAGGAGCGACTTTGCAGAAATGCACCGGCTGCGAATCCAGTACCAGATGAACGGCAGAGGACCAAAAAAGAGGTACTACTTCTCACCCAAGACACACTGGGATAACAACAAGTGGGAGCAGGAACTAAGTAAGGACCCCTCCCAGGGTGGATTAGGAGCTGTCCCGATCTCGCTGCAGCAACAACTACAGGAGCATGAGGAGTACTATGCCGACCAAATGCCACTACCATGCGATCACGACCTTATGGCGAGAGTAGCGCAGGACAGGAGGAGCATGTTGCAGTGCAGCAAGAGAGCAGGCAAGAGGAGAGCGTGGCCAGAATGGGGATTGCCAGTAGAAGCCACCTTGCTCTTGCTCGACCCGCAGATCAACCTCGGCAGCCCAGGCGAACTTAGCAAGCGAAGAGAAGCTAGAGCAATCAGAGAGGCTGAGAAAAGGAAGGACGCAGAGGAGCTGGAGAAGTTGAGTACAGCATACAGTTTTCGAAGAGGACGGCAATTGTTAGCAAAAATGGGATGGGGCGGAGGACGGCTAGGTGTTTGAGAGGGCTTGGTTATGCAAGAAAACGATGTGGTGAACTACACAGTTGGAAGGGGACAGTACGCAGGACTAGGTGCTGAAGTGGCGGCAGACGGCAGCAACAGGTTATTCCACGACAGACTCACTGAGGTGCTTGTGAAATGCCGCACGACGCAGACTACACCCCTGGACTGGCACCGATCCAAGGCATTCGACGCAGACAAGGGGAACGGGAAGGGTGGTATCCAGGGGAAAAGAGTGATGCATGCATATTGCAGTACGGGCATGTCTTGGTTTGCAGGGGCCCACAAAAGAGGAGAGCCCCAGCAGCGCCCCCCCTGGGCCCAAGGAGGGCTCCCCCATAGGTGCAGAGAAAACTCGATCGCTACTATTATGACGACAAAGTGGAAGGCAGAACAGCTTGGATATAGCACTGTGTGCACCAACTACGATTGCTCCAACGCTTTCGCCAGCGCGCACAAGTCTCCACTGCAGGCAGTTGCTTTTAAACAAGCCGGCGAACGGGACAAGCCACATGCAGTGAATGCGATCGGTTACACGACCCTCGCCATGGATACAGCAGAAGGGGGGGCGACAATGGCAACAACTACTGGGTCACAGATGGGATTTACTACGGCGCCAAGACAATTCAACGATGGATACAACATCTACGTGGACAAGTGGAACACCCAGGAGCGACAGGACCCTCGACAACGGCTGCACGACACGCCACACCCTATCACTGGCAAAGTGTGCGACCTGGGGATGATGCCACCAAAACCCATACAATGCCACCAGCAGCAAGTGCTACAACAATAGTGGAGCACCTCAATGGGACGACGGCAGCGCTGGAACAAACTATTGCCAAAGGCGGCTGGAAACTGAACGCTGGAAAAACGAACCACCTCCTCAGCTCACGAGGCCGAGGCAGCCGCGCGAGCACGAGGAAGATGAGAAGGAGCAAAGAAATAAAGGGGTTACCTCTCAGAGAGATGCGTGTGTTAGGACCGTACCTTCCGTCCGACCAAGGGCTCTCAGGCGAAATACACAGGAGATGCGCTGCCATGCGCCTTGCGTGGAGGCAAGGAGGAACTTTTTGGTCGTCAAAAACAGCCTTTGCAGTTAAAAGGATGATGTTTACGGCATTTGTATTCGGAGCCGGCCTTAGCGGCCTCACGGCCTTCGTCCTACCAGCAGCCAGCACCAATGCACTGGACGCGTTATTTGGGAAATATCTTCGTACTCTCGCCAGAGGAGCAATGTCCTGGACTACAGAAGCAGGCGACACAAGGTGCAAAAGTACAAAACAGGTGTTTAAATGGTGGAGGTTAGAAAGATCGGCAGTTGCATTACGCACTCGCAGGCTCAAGTGGTACCAAAAATGGGCACTGTATCCAGCAGAACATGCTAATGTGGTTGCGGCAATCTTTGGCGACTCTGCGATGGACCGACT